TCATTTGATAATCGGGGTCACCCACACTAACGGCGTCCCATAACGCTGTACATTCATTATATAGAAAGGACCAAATTCCACATACAGCCACTGCCAAAGCAAGTGAAAACCCGACTACTACTACCAAGCAAAAAAGTGAATATACAAATTAAGAAATGGCACCAACACGAAAAGCACGTTTTGCCTGCTCCGTCGAGCCGCTCAGAAACAAAACGGCCGGGGGGCGGGGGGGTGGGTAGGGTGGAGGGGGGCAGAGGCTTGAGGGGGGGGGGCAGGATCGCAGGATTGGGGGAAGACGGTGGTGGCGCACGGCGGCTGCCACTGCCGCCACCGCTGCCACTATGCGGCCCCACGGGAATTGCAGCCCCAATACCAGGCATTGTATCAATTGGTTTTCACGCGAACGACGGCGTGAAAAATCCATGCGTTGTACTACTGCCTCGCATGTTGGGGCATCATCGCGCTCGGTGACATTTACGCCATTCAAGCGGCGAACCCCCACCGCCCCCCCCACCGCTCACCCACCTGGCTAGCCCCCCACGTTGAACGCATTCACCGGTTGACTCGGCGGGGGGGGGGGGGTGTGAATGGAAAGGTTCTGGCCGTGCCACCGCCTCTGGTCTTAAAAAAAAAAACCTTCCCCGTCATATTGTTAAAATCTCGTTCCCCTCCCCCGAACGGCGACGCGTCGCGACACGGGCAACCCTCGCCGCTCTGTCCCCCCAGAACGGCGGGCGGCAGATTGTTGCCGCGGAGACGACCGTCGTAATTCCTGCGGGCGACCGGCTGGATGAAGACCTCTCCAAAAGCCGTCGCCACCAAATCTTTGGCGGCCTTGTCTGTGGTTTCCCAAGCCTCCGAATCTCTCTCTCTGAGCGTAAACGAAAACTGCTCACGCGTTGCAAATTGTCCAAATGAATAATTGGGAACTGCACAACTTCATAAAAAAATTCCCGCTGGCTCACTCCACAAACCGTTCGAACGCCGTTCGACGAGCCGGTGTCACGATGGCAGAGCAGCCCGGGCGGTTCCCTCCGGCAGCTTGAGAAGACGCTCCCGGAATAGTACCGACGGCAAAACCCAAACTTGAGCCCGGGCGTCAAATCAAGATTGCGCGAATTTTCTTCCCGCACGCCACACGGGCAGGCACGTGCGCCCACTAAACTAGACGGCGCAACCACCCGACACGTTTCCTTTAGAATTTCGGGGAGGGGGGCTGGCGAGGGGTGTGGGTGTGATGATCGTGTGGTAGAAATCCTGAGAATACGGTTGGTGCCCAACCCCAGCGAGGTGGGGGGGGGGGGGGGGCGCAGCCACGCCGTGGGAGTTGGGGAGCCACCGTCGCTCGCCAAATGGAGCCCCCCCCCAGTGGTGGTGGTGGTGCCAGCTGGCCAGGTGTAGTCATGCCAGGTGTAGCCGCGGCCAGGTGTAGCAGGTGGTGCCAACGCGACCACCGGCGACGGACTCACCACGGGGTAACCAGCCCCTCCCCACCCAGCCCCACCCCTCCCCACCCAGCCCCACCCCTCCCACCCCCCACCTAGCCACACCATCCCCACCCAGCCCCTCCCCACCCTCCCCACCCTCCCTACCCAGCCCCTCTCCCCACCCTCCCCACCCAGCCCCACCCAGCCCAGCCCCACACTCCCCTCCCAGCCCCTCCCAGCCCCTCCCTGCACGACGGACGGACACAATAATCCCCTGTGGGCTGGTGGAACCAGTGGGTTCATACCAGTATTAACTTATTTTCTTAGAAGCAACTTGGCCGCACAGTGATAGCTCAACAGAGTGGCCCATCATTTGGACATTCACAGCAGTGGACTGATCAAGGCTGCTGCTGGTGGTGGTGATGGTGGTGATGGTGGTGATGGTGGTGATGGTGGTGATGGTGGTGATGGTGGTGATGGTGGTGATGGTGGTGATGGTGGTGATTCAACACACATCGCGCACAAACATCCTCGGTGCACTCCGCTTCGTCGTTCCCTTGGGGAATGGGGAGAGACACGCGGGGCCCCCGAATTCAGCGGCAGAGGTCTCTTTAAAATAAAAGTCAGAAGTGATTTTCTACTCGAACGAGCAATGAGGCGATGCTCAATATCCTGCAGAGAGCAACACTCTCAAGCCAGTCATCGTAAACAAATTACACATTACTGTGATGGAATGACAGCCATAAGGTGATACTCATTTTTACATCCCCGGAGGCAATGAATACTAAATAAAAAACTAGTTTTATTTTACCAGGCAAGCCCCACAGAGCTACACAAGCTCTTTTTCAGAAGATGACCTGGGCCCGTAAATTACAGCCCGATGAAGCGGTTTATCGTCACGTGGAATTGCATAGCAGCCCAAATACTCTGAACGCGTGACGTTGATTTTAAATGTGGAGTGAAAACAACCAGAGGACCAGGAGGAAAATCCACGTGACCGTGGGGAGAGAGACACGCCAACTCCAAATATACACCCGCGACCTCCTGCGTACCAGGCGTGGTAGTTAACATCTCGCCACCACGGCGGTGATTCGCTACGGGCTTACCCACCAAGCAGGATGTGAACTCGCAACCTTCCGGCTTTTAGAGCCGCTCTCGCTCCACCCATGAGCCCCCTGGCCCGGTGCGTCTCTTCGTCAAATCTCAACACGCCGGGACCTCGGACGAGTGGCTCTCCTTAAAAAGCCGATTTCGACGGTTCGCGACGGTCCAAATCTAACGGCGCGACGAGGGATATGCGGTGGGGGGTGGGGAGAAGGGGGGTGGGGGTGGAGCGAGGGGGGTAGCAACCTCGTCGACTGAAACCGGGTCCGGTAGCCGAGTAACAATTTCCATCAGAAGCACAACGCTGTTCATCAAATCGAGGATTGATCCCAAAGCATATTCACGTAAAAGCATGGCGAGCAATGATGGGAATACGGTGACGGCGATAATGTTATCCGTTTCACTTTTGAGTTAAAAAGTCTGATTACATCACCACCACCACCAGCAGCACGTGTTCGACTGCAGGACGCAGTCTTTATTCAAACGAGGGGTAAAGGTGCATCCCTGCAATGGCTCGCTCTCGAGGGCCCCCTTCCTCTCCAGGGGCTATTTCAGGCCTACTCTTCCACGCCGACCAGACATCTTTCAATCGGTGGGTGTACCCACACTTCGCCCCACCACACCGGAGGGAGGGACGGAGGGACGGAGGGACGGAGGGGAGGGATGGAGGTGCGGGCCGATGGTAAGCAAAAAAAGAAATGGCAACTGGCCAGCAAAACGAGTCAGTCGATCTTCTTCATTATAGAGGCAAGACGATCCAGGAATTATGGGGGGGGGGGAGGATTGCGTCTTTAGTGAGGGGCCCGTCTGGGTGCATTACACCAGACAGCCTCGCTGCGGGACGCCTCCTAGCCGGGGGGATTGTTCCTTCAAATCGTGCGGGCGTTAACCCAATTACAGAGCCACAGGCCTCGGGAGACCCGGTTGCCAGACGCCCGCCCACGCGCCCACGCGCACACACGAGCACACACACGCGCACACACACACACACGCGCATACACACTTCTAGAAAACACTTGGGCGGTGGTGGGAACACCGCACGCGCTTCACAGCGCCGAGCCCCCGAGGTTCGATTCTCTACCCGGGTGCCTCTCCGTGTGCCGTTTGAACGTTGTGTGTTGGGGGTGTCATGGTGGCGAGATGTTAAGCATCTCGCCTGGCGTACAGGAGGTCGCGGGTTTATATTTGGAGTTTGCGTGTTTCTCTCTCCCCGTGGTCTTGTTGATTTTCTCCGGGTCCTCCGGATTTTCCCCTCTACATTTAGAATCAACAACACGCGTTTAGAGTATTTGGCTGCTTTAAATGTACACACACTTTTGAGTTAAAAAGTCTGATTACATCAGAAGCGGCCTGTGGCCAGGCCGCTTCTGACAAAGATCTACATAGCTCAGTGGGTCTTACCTGGTAAAATAAAAATTAGCTTAGTTCCACTCGACCTTCTTTCGCACCGTGCCTAGCCAACCACGCCAATCTGTTCGGCATCAATTTATCTCCAGGTTCAACCGGCTCTCCCTTCCACAGTTACATTAAAACGATGCCAAGTGTCACCCATATTGGACAAACTTTCCCAACGCTCAAGCACACACTTGCCAATTACTCAATCCGGATTACGCAGAGCAGCAGCAGCGACATCGCCCCCCCCCCCCCTTCCTTCCCCCCCCCCTCCCTCTTGTGAGATCCTACACGATGGCAGGGGTGGCTGCCGTTGAGGAAATGCCAAAGTTGGCGAAGGGGGGGGGGGGGTTTCCAAAACTCGCCGGCTTCCTTAAATAAATCGCAAAAATTCGCGGAAAATTAAAAGCGTTGCCACCCTTTTGTCACGGCGATTCGCCAAAAAAAAAAAAGGGACCGGCTTCGGTTTAGGAGCGAATTCTCCCGAAAGCAACGGGGTTTTTTTTTTTTACGTTTTTGTTCACTGCACTTACGCAACGCAAATTTGCCACATGTGCACAACTTACTTGATCCAAGTTCAAGTTCATCTACTAGGTTCCTCTTACGAGTGCGCACAACAACACTTCGTTTGACTCGAATATACATTTCACGGTCGCGGCCTCAAAACGACACTTTTCCCTATCTCGGGCGAGCTCACGCGGGTGTACAGGGTCCCCCTCCCCCCCCGACAAGGCGTCGTTCATTTCGGAGAAACCTTTCTGTGAAAGCTCAAAGAACTAAAAAAGCAGTCCCAAGTGATTTCCCGCCCGGAATGAGCCACATTGGAGGCATTGGTGCTCAACATCCCGTTCACACCTGGCGAGCCAGTGATGGAAATTCCACATCCATATGGCGGGGTCAAGTCCCCCCACCGGTTTCATCGTTGGGAGTTGAACTCGCAAACCTTCCGACCGCGAGCCGCTCGCTCCACCAGTCGTTGCCACGAAGCCCCAACGCTGGCTAAACGTAGCCAGCGCCACCGCCCATGGTGGTGGTGGCGGTGGTGGTGGTGGGTGGTGGTATCGGTGGTCGGCTTACCCTGTATGCACTGCACCGAGCCATCCTTGGCTCGTATCGTGAACGTCTCCCCAGGATTGACGTGCACCACGATCACCTGCGGCACACGGAGACGAGGCAGAGACGAGGCAGAGTCAGTACCGGACCGCGTGACTGCGCGCGTGGGGGAGGTGGCGGCCCCCCAACCTCCACACACAGGGGGGTGGGGGATGAGCAGGTCGATGTAACCATCACTGCGCTCAGGCTCGGGAAGCGCAATCCGTCGCCGGACTCGCGTCACCGTGCGTAACGCGACACACGCGTCTACGCGAGTCTCCACGACAAGGTCGGCATTGCGTTCCTCGTGCACAACGGAACAGAGGAGTCGCCGAGCCGTGGGCGACAGGAAGAAGCGGCAATGCGCGGGCCGATGGGGTTTTTAAACAAATTGGCGGAGGTGGCGCGCGGACGATTCGGGCCACGGAGAGCCGCAGCAGCCGTCTGGCTGTATACGCGAGCTTGCAAAAAAGCGCGGGCACGTGACTTACAGCGTTAATTCAGGCCGATTCGGTTTGCTTTCGTGTGGCACCGGGACGGGATGAAATAATTGGCACGTGTCTGGAAATCCGCGGTGGCAATTTCCATCGTTGGCGACGCGCAACCAGTCGTCAATTTTCCACGGAGGTAATTTCCTTGTTTACGGACAAAGGCCTTGCGCCGCAGGGCCTCGGGGGCCGTCTCCAGGAGGAGCGCCCCGCGGGACGACGCGCTCGCACCGCGGCGGTATTTTGTTCCCGTGGAGAATCGGTCTCCAGGTGGGGGGGGGAAAGGTGGGGGGGGGGGGGGGGGGACACTCGCACACAACCGTGAAGCGTTCGTGTGACGGGGGCACGAGTAGGCCTGCCGAGTGGGGCGCCACGGTGGCTAAAAGATGTTAACTACCTCGCCTGGTGTACAGGAGGTCGTGGGTTCGATCCCGACCCTGACGCCTGCTGCTGTATATTTGGAGTTTGCGTGTCCCTCTCGCTCTCATCATCATCATCACGGTGGCTAAGAGATATTAACTACCTCGCCTGGTGTACAGGAGGTCGTGGGTTCGATCCCGACCCTGACGCCTGCTGCTGTATATTTGGAGTTTGCGTGTCCCTCTCGCTCTCATCATCATCATCACGGTGGCTAAGAGATATTAACTACCTCGCCTGGTGTACAGGAGGTCGTGGGTTCGATCCCGACCCTGACGCCTGCTGCTGTATATTTGGAGTTTGCGTGTCTCTCTCTCTCTCTCATCATCATCATCACGGTGGCTAGGAGATGTTAACTACCTCGCCTGGTATACAGGAGGTCGTGCGTTCGATCCCGACCCTGACGCCTGCTGTATAAGATGTTAACTACCTCGCCTGGTGTACAGGAGGTCGTGGGTTCGATCCCGAGCCTGACGCCTGCTGTATACAGAAGAACTCCTCTTAACGACCACCCCTGTTAACGACCAATTGCTTAACGGCGGGCCTCTATCGAGCCCAGTGTAGTGTATAGAGTATAATGTTATCTATTTATGGTCGAAGGCTGTAAATTGATTGAGGCGCGCCGCATGAAAACGACGGAAAGTGCAGCGTTCATCACAGATAGATAAAGTTGTGCGCTTATTATAACATTAGTCATTTGTGGCCGGGTCGCTTCTGAAATAAAATACGTAGCTCAGAGGGCCCTCAACTGGTGAAAGAAAAAAAAGTGGTTAAAATAGTTTTACACTATGAGGACCGTTTCTTGCCAGCATCAAAATTTCAGAACGGGTTTTACCCTTTCTGGCAATAACACAGGAGGTGTTAAGATGTTAAAACACCAAACAGAAACCCGACGGCTACTGCAAGATGCGACCCTGTCCGTCCAGAGCTACATTGGGCTTCCGGTTGCCAAACGAATACGTTGTAAGGTCGCACTCATCACGCACGCACACACAAAGTGCCTGCCACAAATGAACCGCAATGCCTCACCGATCTCGTCAAGGAGCATAAACCACCATCACACCAAATCCGGTCATCCACGCAGCAGCGGCCGCGGCTTTTGGCTCGGCCATCGAGCAAAGCCGGTGGTCACCGCACCGCGCGGCGCTTTCAGGTGCTCCTCCGCAAACATCTGGAACGCTCTTTTCCTTCCGATGCGAGGAAGCCACCGGGAGCCGTGCACTTTTTAAATCCTTTATATTAAGTTCACTTGCTTGCGCGCTTAGGACCGTGCAAATCTTTCGGTCGTTTTTTAACCCAATTCCCGTGATCCAATCGAGCTGACATTTTGCACACAGACTCGTTGTGCGTGACAATTTATTTTCGTGAAAAAATTTTTTTACCTAAATTTGACACTTTTTAGGAAAAAATAAATTATATTTAACTACCAATTGCTTAATGGTGGCAGGCAATCATCTGACCCATAGGTGGCCGCCATCTCAAGCCAGAGGACGAGAGGACTCTAGCCGCCACGCATATAAAGGATTTAGAGTGATAAACTTTGTTTTTACGGGTTAATTTTTTAATCGTCTCGATTGAAAAACTCACTTCTTTAGAACTGCTTTTGTTGTCCTTCCGCATACGCACACGCGGGCCATACCACGGGACCGCGTGCGACTGCGTGTGGCGCGCGGCACAAACCAACGGCGGAGATCGCTCGGCCCCGACCGTAGGCGTCAGTTGGTGGCGTCTCGCCCCGTAGCTCCTCTTTTCAAAGCGACCATCCCATCGCGAGCATCTCCCCTTCAGTTTAGCACCGAGTCGGAGGCTTTCGCGACCAACATCATCCATAAGAGGTTTGTTTCGGGTTAGATCGCGTACATATATAAATGTGTCGTTAAACCCGCCACCGCCCGACACAGCCAATTGGTAAGGTTTATCACGTAAACAGAATGTGCCAATTCGTTACTAGTACGGCACTAACCGGTGTGTTCTTGAGAGCAAAGCCACATTTACAATCAGAGTACGACGTTTCGCCAGTAATTACAACAATCATCAGGCGACAGCCAGATTTCCCTTTACGATGAACGGCGCCGCCGTTTAATCCGCGTGGTGGCCCTGACGATGATTTGTGAAAACGAGGTGCCCCTTTGCAATAGTTTAAAAGTCGCCCCTCCCCCCCCCCCCCAGCCTGTGGCAAGCCACGTTGAAAACCGAGAGCGTCTCTGACCAGTAAACCCGCGTGTCCCACCGACTACATCTGACAAGTTGCTCATCGTACCCAGGGCCAGGACCGTGCCCTGGCCGAGCACCGTCTCTCCGCAGCTGCACCGGCAGCGGCCGTCTGGAACGCTCTCTCTCTCTCTCCCGCTGCTGCGTACTCGCAGGAGCGGCATGAGCATCCAAGCACCATCATCATCATCCACTTTCAAGCGACAGGTGAAGGCCGTCACCACCCATTCCATGGCCATCACCCCGTCCAAGCTGCCACGTGAAAGACTTTGAGCTCCGGCTCAGTGTTCCCCGATTGAACATTTCGTGACGATTCGCAAAATACGCGAGTGTGATAACGTACGTACACACGCACGCAGAACTTCTTTCGCGCCGTACGTTGGCCAAAAGTGGTCATCGGAGGTGCTGATAAATGAACTTTCTTTTTATCATCACCATCATCTTCTAATATGTACATCGTCGTAATTCCGTCACGCGTCTCCCACGCACGAGTGGCAAATATTTTGGCGGTGCGGCCAGAACCGGCCACGGGAAAAACACAGGGCGCCGTGGTACAAGAAAAGCGGACTGCGACGGAATCGCCGATTCCTCGCCGACGTTAGCCAATCAAATTAAGAAGGGGGCGCGCGCGTCACACGACTGCTCGATCCAAGCATTGCCCGCCAACTAAACAACTATTTTGGAGACGGCTGGCCCGATCAACTCCGAGTCGGGTGCCGGATCGACCGAGCGAAATCGATGCAAATTAAACCTCGACTCACGATCCGCAACGACCGTGCATGGGGCAACGACAATCCTGCCCCCCACCCCCCCTTTCGGCCACCGCCTTTACTTTCTTCCACGCACATGAGGGGGGGGGGGCGGGCAAGATCTCCGATGGACGATTTCGTGGGGTGCCCCCGACTGCATCGCTCTACGACGGCGCACCTTGCAACGTGCGGCGACGCCGTTGCCACGACGGGCACTGCCGCCTGCGCCGTGCCGTTGCCTTGATGATTCTCACGGCAGATTGTACCACCAGAAGGACTTGCGTGGAGATGGGAGAAGAGGATATTGCAAGGAATGAAAAAGTGAATGGACACAAAAGGGGGACGGAAGGGATTTGCCGGGAAGCCAATAGCCGTCGGCAGTTTTATTGGGAGGCGAGAGCCGCATTGAGCCTACAAGGCAAAACAAAAAAAAGGCGCAGCTCTGCAATTTCTTCCCCATGCAACTACTGGCGGAATGGCATCCACTGGAGGGAACTCGACAGAGAGCCGCTTTAGTGGGCATGCTGGCCCCTACTCTTCCACGCTTGCCACACATCTTTGATAGAGGGTGCGGAGTTGCCCACGCTTCACCACACCCACACGCGCGAGCTGCCGTCCGGCTGACCGTGCCGGATTCGACTCGGCGCGCTCACGTCGCGAGCGGAGGGATCGACGCCGGCCTGCCGAAACTACGGTGGCTGGGGAAAAGAGGAGGGGGGGCGGGGGGGGGGGTTTGGGCATGGAACCGATCGGGGAGAGAGATACCGCGAAAACCGAAGGAGCGAGAGCCGAGCGGAAGGTGAAGGGGGCAGGTTGGGGTCAGGTGGCGGTGAAACCGAGCACCCGCTGAGGAACCCAGACGCCCGGTCAGCGCGGCCCGCGTGGGGCTGCGTGAGCGGACGGGCGAGCGGGCGTGGGCTGAACGCTAATGAGGAAGCCGCCGTTGCCGTCACCGCCACTGTGCCAATAGCAACACGCACGCACGTCCTTACAAACAAAAACGAAAGGAGGCGAAGGTGGAGGCCCTGCAATCGCTCGCTCCGCCGCCGCCGCCGCGATGAAAGGGCTCAAGAGAGAACGGGGCCTGCTCTTCGTCGCCGGCCAGACGTCCCGTCTCGGAAGAGGGTTGTTGTGGGGGTACCCACACTCTACCCCACCGCACGCAAACCTGCAGAGCGACTAATCGTGGAAGAGCC